TGAGATGATTTTGCAGAATATAAGTTTTGACCAAAAATTATACTAAAAATTTGGTGTACCCTCAAAAAGTCATGGGAAAAACTTTGGAGATAGCACAATTGACTCCTTTTCAAAATCCATATCCAATGTTGCAACTGCAGCCTACTTATGCATGTAATTTTACAATCTAGTGTGTTTTACATACACACACTGAGATATAGTGAGCAAGTGGATATTATAACCTTACCCCTATTTTTCTTATCTTATCCTTATCTCCCAGAACCTCGAACTTATCTATCTTATCTCCCAAACCTACAGTATTCTGCCAGCACACCTTCTGCCCATCTATCTGGTTATTATCATCCCATCAATGACTTGCACATCTTGGATAACCGATGTACCGTATGCACCATCATGCTTCTTAATGGTTCAACTATACAACCCACTAGTCAAGGGCAGTCTACAGCATATGGACTATTCAGATAGAGTCTTGCTTCCATGCAGGTGACATGCACTTTTTACACTTATTCACTGAAGACTATACTTCTCCATACAAGAATTGCAGCCAAGACTTATTATTAGGTAGAGCAAATGTGTATTTAAGCTAGCCTACACTGTGGCCTTAAGCTCCAGCTTCAGCTAAAGTTATACACTCCCAACTTTTACTGAACTCCCTGGTTCACAACTAACTTGTCCATCACCATCTACGAGAACTTACAATGCTATTTACCCTGTGAATCACCAAACACAAGTGACACATTGGACTCATGCCTTGTATAGTTTTGAGTTGGTGCGTTACAGTGGACTAAAACAATGCATTGATACTAATACTACATAGTGCAATGATGCAGAATATAACTTATGGTATAAAAAGCAACAGGATTCTAAACAGGACTTAGTCACAGCATTGTACCTGATAGGCATGCATGATGAGAGAGCTGAACCCTATACATGCATTATGCTCTAACTTATCAGCACACTTGTGGGAGTTAAATGACACTTTGAAGATTATATTGACATTAAGAATATTTAGCATGCTCACTAACTATGATGCACTGTACCTGAAAATCTAGGGAAATCCTTATGCAAGATGATAGATATCACCAGCATGAACTTGGGCAGTGGGTTTCAGCTGAAGTTCACAAGCCTGCATTCCATTTGTCCTGAGTCCCATTGTTTGAAGACTCACTTGTTGCCATTTTTTTAAATTTTTATTTGTACATTGCTTGTACATAGATCCTACATGCTAGCATATAGTTGGATTATCCTGCCTTGTATTCTACTTTGTCTATATGTATCTATGCTTTTGTATCATAACTACTGAGCAAGGCTTTGCTCCTTGCAAGTTATCTTGCAGTTGTCAACATGGTCTCTTGAGCATCGTATGAGGTAGTAATGTACAGATTCATTAGGATGGGAGCAGTTTAGGCATGCAGGGGATTCAATGTAGCAAATGTTGAATAGATGACAGTTGAGCCCAATATGTCCAGTTCAAAGCTGCATGAGTATACTTGTGATGTTGCATGGTAATGAAGTGGCTAGCTTCTGGTACTAATGTGTGGCTTGCTGAGCAGGTGCTGAATCAATGTTTCAGAACCTAGAGTAGTGGGGCAACTTCCTCCAGGCTCAGTCAGCTTTAGTCTTCTGCTTCATGTAGTTTTCTCGGAGTGTTGATGTTTTGTTTTGAGGGATGAGTTTTTATAGTGATGCTGAGAGGCTCTGCACTGTACTAGTATTGCCATGAGCTGCTGCCTTTGCTTCTTCATCTGCTGCTTTGTTCCCTGCAATGCCTTGGTGTCCAGGGATCCAACAAATTTTTAAGGAGATATCAGGGTGTCTTTACAGAACCATGTCAACATGTTTGTGAAAGAGGTTGATGATATGGTGGGATGGAGCTGGTTGCAGTGTTGTCAATACTGATGGAAGCACTCTTGATGTTGGACATGTTGCACAATGGCTCTAAGCATAGCATTAGTGCCAATCCTTCTCCATCATATACCTCATGCTCCTTTGCCAATCCAACCTTTAACCTCAATATCTTTACTCTCCAGTCTCCTTTGTATATAACAGCCACAGCTTGTATCCCTCCATCTATCCCTGATCCATTGCTGTATGCCCTGACTTCACTGTGGTCCATCTGTTCCATTATCATAGCCTTCTGCATTGTCTCTGCAATTTCCACCTCCACCTTTGTCTTCTAATAAGGTGGAAAGCGGACTGCCTTGATAGTCTCCAGAGTATCTGGCTGCACATTGAAGTCTCTTGCAAGCTCGTGCAGTGGTGACCTATATCGCTTGATATAATAGTTTGTCACCCTTTGTACTGGCTTGTATAGTGGGTGTTCTTGTGGTAGACACACCATGCATGTAAGAGCCCTATGTTAGTATACGTCCACCTGACCCATCATGGAGAATAGATTGGCATGGATGTCCAGTATGTCTGCTGCTGTCATGCGTATTGCTCTCATGATGAGAATTGCCACCTTTCTCTGTATTGAGGCTAGGCAGTTCACTGTGCATACTGTACTATTATGACCAGATATTCACATAATACATAACAACCCTCTGTGAAGTGAATATCTGTGAACTTTGTAACACATAATAGGCTCTTTTAGTACCTTAAATTACTCAATATAGCATTATTTTTTCAGTCCAGTATTAGCTGGACTGCCTATTAAGGTAGATGACATCATAATGAAGATGTAACTTTGTGAAGATGTACATAACATGTAACACCCTGTGAAAATTCGGTTGTAATAGTACAGTATACTGCTCTTTCCATCCTTTCACTTCTTTCTTGTTCATCTCTGTGAATTCAAAAAGACTTCAGCAGCATATAGGATTCTTGGGATGGCAATAGAGATATATGTGAATCACATACACTCTCTTGAGACTCCTGATCCCATGCAGGTGAGGCATCAAAATTGGACTATCCAGTCATTGCCCTTCTTTATTGCTGCTGTATCTTGCTCTTTCCATCATAGCCAGCATCAATGTGGACACCTAGGAACTTTGCAATGGGTTTTGGATGGATGACATGTTGGCCAATCTGAATTGCTGTGCCCATGGCCAGTTTGTGTTGCCATGCTGAGAAGTTTGGTCAGAGGGCTGTCTCCCATGTCTTTGTTGTAAAGTTAATGAGTTGGAACTTTTCTATCCCATATTTGCAGTTGTGATCTGATGCCCATTTGAGTATGCCTTCTGGTCGCTCTATGATGTCCTTGATTTTCTGGTGAATGTCCATAAAGGTTTTGCCCTATACAAGGAGTGTCTTGTCATCAATGAAGAGGAATTCCTCTTTGCTGTTTTGGAGCCATCATAGTGTGCTGAAGTTGTATATAACATATAGTATCTGTGAGAGTGGGTCTCTTTGGTCGAGCCCATTAGTGACTGCAAATATGATAGACTTGAAGTTATTGAATGTGAGGATGGTCTTATGCTCTCCAAGCCTCTGGTATAACCAGTCTGTATACTGGGCTAGTATACCCATCATCAGCATTTCATGGATGAGCATGTCCATATTGATGCTGAGGAATGCACCTTTGACATCAAGAAATAGAATGGATACTATGTTACCTTTATGCATTCTTGATGGATGATACTATGAGGTGGATAGTGGATGGAATCTATCATACATCTTCCAGGATGCCTGCCAAAGTGCCAGTCTGGGATTATACCTATGTACTCACACCATGCTACCAGATCTTGGTTAAGGGTAGTATGTAGTCCCCACCCTCAGCCATCAGATAGGATAATCAAACAATATGAGTTGGGGTTCTCATAGTTCAATTTTCCTGGTTTGCATAGTATGATAGTGTTTATTGCACTTAATCTATCTGGATATTCCTCCTGTGTAAACATTGCCTGATAAATAGATCCTATATGTGGTGCAAGGAGGTCAGCACAGTGAAGTAGTATGCTGTTTGGGATGGTGCCTGGTTTGGTGGCCTTGAGGGGTTTCATTCATTTGAAGGCTTATTCTACTTGCTTGTTAGTAATGAGGCAGAATTCCCCAGCTGGTGGTAAGTATTGGATGTTCCATGGTACAGCTGATATAGTTGGTTTGGGTGGAAAGAAGGCTGTTCTGAATACATCACCTTTCTCTGAGTTGTCCTTGATCCTGCATGCTGGGTGCCCAGTTCACTTGACTACAAGGTCAGGGACTCTGGCTCATCCTCCATCTGAGGATGGTTGTGATATGAAACTGCATATTTTCCATATGCTGCTGCTTCCTGCTGCTTCCAACCATTCCATCCAGTATGTCATTTTTGCCATGTCTATGGCTATAGCATATTTGTTGCATAGCTTGTTCCTTTCCTCATGTATGAGATGGTCTCCAAACATCCTGAATCTGTATGCCTTTTTCTGCATATTGTGTAGTCATTTGCATAGATCTGTAAGCTCACCTGTCCACCATTGCTTGATGTATGAGCTTAGTTTGGTCCATGAGACATATAGCTCTATGGTTTTTTGTATGATATGGTCAAGATCTTCAAGCGCTGTGTGCATTTGGTTTTTGGTTGTTATCATTGATAGCAGTGGTAGATCATTGAGCTTGGATTCAAGCTTGCTGTAGAACTTGTTCCAGTCTACCTTTCAGTAGTTGCATCATGGTTCACAGCTGCTGTGTGGAGAGGATATGTCGATGGTGGATATGATAGAGAAGTAGTCTGTTCATGGTGGTTGAGCAGCATGGTCAATGGTGCATTGGATGAATGCTGGCAGCAGTTTATCTGAGCAGAAGACATTATTGACACAGGTATAGTTGTCTGTGGAGAATGCTCACAGTGTTGGTACAAGTGCAGGTAGTGGCATCTTGAGATGATGCCATTCTATAATCTGCAGTAGGTGTCCAGGCTTGGTCTGTGAAAAGGTGTGAGTTACAGGGTTTATCCCATAGTGGGTGGTGCACATTCCAATCTCTCATACAGATGGTAGGCCTCACTCATCTTGTCATTTGGCTGAATACTCCCTTAGCATGTCATCAATGATCTTCCATGCTGCTATTGAGTTCCCATCACTATAGAGATTGACAATAATGATTGTCTCTGTTGGAGCATGTAGGCTCATTGTGACTATGTCTTGAGTGTCCAAGGCAATGCTAGACCAAGCATTAGTAGAGAGAGATTGGTTGACAAGAGTTACAGTTTTTATCAGGTGAGGGTCTTGTTTGTGATGTGTTGGGTATATCATTATCCATCCTTGTGTTGCTCTTGACTTGCCTTGCTTGCTGATGTATGGTTCTTGAATCATGATAATGTCATCATCTTGGTGTACTTGGTTTATAAGGCAAGAGTGGGCAATGAGCAATTTGTTGATGTTGAACTGATAGAGTTTTAGTTGCATCAAGATAGGGTTATTGTCAGGTGTATCAATTATAAGTCTATGGGTGGAGAGGATGCAGGTGGTTCAACATCTATGCTGTTCTTGTTCTCCACATTGAGGATCTGACCCTCCTCTGCTCCTGTCTCTCTATCTGATGATGCTGTCATACTTGGTGACTGTTGGCTCTTTGCTAGGTACTGATTTATTGAGGGTTGGTGGTACTTGTTCAGTCTCATGAGTATCATGTTGGAGTTTGTCCTCTTGCCCTTGTTTTGTTTTGTGCTGCTGCCATCATGTTTGTCCTGAGTCATATGGGGTGAGACTAGAAAACTCCCCAAGGATGACGTTGTAGCATCACTTGGGGTGTTTGGTCTGCTCATACTTTTGCCTATCACCTTCAAAGGATATGCAGTTTCGGCTTGTGTTTGAACATCATAGGTGGCCCATGTAGTGGGGTCCTCAGTCACAAAGTATCGATATTTCAACTTGGGGTGTTGACTACATACAATGTCAGTAGCTCTAGTGAAAGAAGGATATGCATTATGGTCAACAGTGCTATAGCTGTTGCTTGCTTATGTCTCATTGCCTGCTGCCCTCTGTATGTTCTCTAGTGCTTCAGGTGTGCAGAGCTATGTGGCTGCATTGTCTGAGTTGAACATATATGCCACTCTGCCATTGGCAATTTTTCAAGCTCCAACAACCCTGATATTGTCTGGCATGACATAGAGGGCATCCTCAATGCTAGTGGTCATGCTAGCTAAAGCCTCATTCATCTCTGAAATGACGTCCTTCTCTGATTGCTTGTTCATCTTATTGCGTGTCTCATCTGCCATTGGTTTCACTATAACATGCCAGTTGGCCAGCTTGCCTCTGGTGATGATGTCAGCATGGCAAGAGTCAGAGAATGGGCATGGGGATGATTTGTTGACAGCATCCACATAAGTAGAGGGTTGTGATTGTGATGAGTTAGGGTGTAGCATCATTTGGGTGTTTGTGGTCTGCAGGTCTTCAATGATAGACTGAAGAGTGGCTATGCTTTGCTTTAGCTCCTATAGCTGTTTATTAATGGCCATGCCATTGGTGTTTTGGTTGTCCACTGTGGTCTTCAGCATGTTTGAGCTTTTCTGCAGAATTACAAATGTCATGCAGTACTCAGACTCCTATATGCATAGCACATTGTCACCATTGCCTTGCTGAGCATATGAATTGGACTTCCCAGTTTTAGTCTCATTTCTATAGTGAGCTCACTAAACATGTGCCAAGAGGTGCTCTCCCAACACCCACAGGCTTGTTCTCTATAGATCTAGGCACACGGAACTATCAGTTCTGGCATATGTCTTTCAAGACTTCTTTCTTGGATTCAGAGGCTTCTTGTAGACATGGCAACAAGTGGACACCTCTTGATCCACTACAGCCATTACACCCAATCTTCCCATGGTCCACTAACACTATTTGAAGGAAATTGGGAGAGCATATGAGGTATTACGATTTTATCCCTATTTTTCTTATCTTATCTTATCCTTATCTCTCAGACCCATGATATTCCACCAGTATACCTTCTACCTGTTTATCCAGTTGCTGTCACCTCAGTTCACAGCTGCCATATTCCGGATGACTGATGTTTCGCATGTACTATCATACTTCTTAGTGGTTAGGCAGGAGTCAACTGCTAGTCGAGGGCGGTCTATGGGATATGGTCTATTCAGATGGAATCCCATGTCGATACAGGTGACATGTGCTCTTTACTCTCATTTGTCAGAGGCCCACTTCTTTTAGTGCCCTCACTCCTCATTCACTGTAGAGCGTTCTTCTCATTGCATATACCTCTATAGACACTATTCTTAGTATGAGTCCAACATGTATTTAAGCTAGCCTACACTGTGGCCTTAGACCCCAGCTTTGGCTAAAGTTATACAAGGATAGATACACATAAATACTTCTTGTAATAACTACCTACAACATCAAGAAATCATACCAACAAAATGTCCAAAGGACTGAACCCACCCAACAACCCAGAAAATGCGAGTCTTACTGTGACAATGGCAGAAGCAAAACAGGCACACATGGTCAAGCTGGAGATGTCCATTGAGTGTGCTAAGTCTGTTTGGAGAATGTTTTAAAGTGGAAATCTGAGATCTAATCTGATCTGATCTGATCTAACTGTTCTGTTTGAAGTTCCAGTTCTGAATCTGTTTTCTGGGCACTTCTGAAATGTTTTTAAGTCAAGATTATCTGTTGGAGTCAGTTGGAGAACCTGTACATACAGTTATATAGCAAGCGGGCTAAGTCAGTGCTTGCCTGTGGTGTTCTTTTAGCAAGCTCACTATTGTTTCAATGTGTATCATCTCTGTTTCTGTCAGGATCACTGTCCCTTGTGTATTTTAACTTGAATCTGCCTTAAAGGTTGCATTATGCCAGCAAATGACCTTCCTGTAAAAGTTTCTAGACTTAGAAATTCATTTGAGAAAGCTTAGCTTCACTAGAAGCATCGAGAACCAGAGAAACTCTTCAAGATATTAAAGATTGCTGGAGTCAGGCCTGAGCATCATGCAGGTTCTGGTAGTCACTATGTAGCATCTTAAATTCTACTAGTATATACTGCTGTGTCTGTGTATATAATGTCTAGAACTGGCATTCACTGTATGGATACTACTGTGTAATTCTATCTACCTATCTACCTCACAGAAGGTATTTGCCGAGTAAATAGGATCTTTGGAGATTCAATTTGTCATTGGCTGATAAGTATACAAGAATGTTTGAAAGACATCAGAATCAGTGCTGTGTGGTTTTCAGCTGTGGATGTTGCCAATAGAGTTAAATGACTGACTGATGTCTGCTGCTGAGGCCAAAAGAGGTATATATAATTTAATTTTTTTAGTTTAAAATTTTGGCACCACAAAAATATTATGGGAAAAACTTTAGAGGGTGTTTTTTAAACATTTTCACCCTCTGACTTTCTGAATCTGAACTTATTTTTGCCTCAGAAAATCTGGTTTAGCCAGAAATCAAATTGTTGTGTTTGATTGTTAACAACTGTAATAAAATCAAGAAATTCATCATGATAGGGTTTGCCAATTATTCTGTCAGGAGAAATTGTGCTAAGGGAGCTGTCACAGAAACCCAATTGCTTGGTTAGCACATATTCCAGTAGCATGTGAATTTATTGTTGACTTTGAGATTGATTTATGTGGTGACAGAAAATTGCAATAAAGTTGGTATAGATGTGTGTCTGATGACTTCTACTTTGACTTTAAAGTTTCTAATGATAGAAAACTGTCCTGCTTGTTAGCGATACATCTCTATTTTTTTATTGTTAGAATTATAAGCTTATACATTGACCAGAGCACATGACAATGTTCTTGACTGCTTCTGTGATGACTTCTTTATCCACTATGAAGAAAGGGAAATGGATAAGCAGTCATTTCTTATGCACCTTGTGAGATGATATTTTAGGACTTGTAAGTTTGTTATCATTGTAAGTTTTCTGTTTTGGCTGATGAGAATATTCAGATCATAAACTTTTGTCTTAATTACACAAAGGATTTGGCTGCCACATGGACTGAAAGGATGGAGCATATGAGTGTTGTGTCAGCTTTCCATTTTCATTAAACTAAGTGACTTTTAGCATTGCTGATATCTGGTTGAATCATTTGATCTACTCAAGGACATGCAACCAAAGCAATATTGGAGCCCTTCAGAATTGCACTTACTTATCAAAGAGTCATTTCAGATGTTAGCAAAGCCTAATAACGAGATGACTATGGATCAAGTATAATCATTCTTGAAAGTTGATCTTTTCTAATGCTTGCTAGGTCCTACAACACATACCACTCTGGTCACTAATGATGATGATCAGATGTTATCCTGAATCATTTTTAAAAATCTCTCACTATTCCAATGAGTGGCTCAAGTTCTCAGTGAGTAGAACTTTGGAGTTTTTCAACCTGGATTTGACTAATACTAACAGAATCTGACTTTATGCCACACTCCACAATGAGGTGTCTTTGACATGCTGATCACAATTCAACACTGAAAGAGCAGACATATAGATAAGCTATATGTGTAAGTCATTAATGCCAAAGAGTTGTTTTATTCTAACAGGTTGCAGAGTGACATTTATGATCTGAGGTATCACCCATGAGAATATGTGGATAATGAATGTGAGCAGGCACCATTATAGTGAAAAACCTTTTTGTAGCAGAGACCATGCCCCTCAAATAATCCTCTACAGAAAACAGATTCATCCCCAAATTTCAGCTTCCACTGAATAATCAAGTCATCCATCCTCATCCAATAACTCATCAAGTGTGTTGTATTTGAGGAAACCTCAGTGTTGAAGGCCAATCATGATGAGTTGCATTCCTTTAAATCAAGATGGTTGTAGCTAATTGTGGACTTGGCTGTGAGTTGTATGATTTTATCTGTATATTTTTTTACTGAAATGATGCAGTGGTTCTTGAGGGAGTCATCCATCCTGTACTGTTTCTGTTATAGTCTTGCTGCTTTATTGCATATCATCTTTGGCAGTGAGATGGCAAAAGGCATGCTTCACCATCAGATGCAATCAGATACACTTAGTGAAAGTTGCTTCAATGCTCCCACCACAGTTAATTTAACTGGTGCAGTTATCGATGGAGTTGCCAAGCATGCATGGGAGATGATGCATACCAACACCCCAGCTTTACACTGTAGGTACATGTTCTCTCATTTCTCAGTATAGTCTGACAGGTTGGTTGCAGTGAAAATGCGAAAAAGATGATCTGCTTAACTGTGAAAGAGGCTATAGAGTCACACCCACATCTTCAATCCCTATTTGCAGTCTGAAAATATTTAGCAGAGCATATCAAGTCTTCATCAAGCAACTGGACACTCATTTTAGCAAGTTATTCATTTTATTCAAATATATAGTAGCTAATATATTCTGTCTAGCCTACACTTGTTGA